TATAATATACCACTGCACTTTTCCTTTGGTCATCATTAATATAGGTGAATCCAGAAAGTTGAATCTTGGGTCGAAGTATATACCAGAAAGGAATACAATATTGTCGAGTAATTTTTCTTTCCTTCTTCTCATACACTCCAACAACTTTATTGCAAACGGATTTTCACCATATATGTAATACTTCTATATTGGCAGTAAGCTAACTTCTCAATGTGTAAGCATTCCGAAATCAAAGCGAGACAGTCAAGTACCGGTTTTGTCAATGTATTGTGTACTTGAGTGCCTTTTTTGTATATGTGTTGTGTACATGTTTATTTATAAACGTATGTGTTCTTATTCTTTCGTACGTGTTCATTGATATATCTGTACTGTAGTGTTTTCGGACAGTACTAGCTCTTACTGCCAATATAGGAGTATTACATATATGATTTTCACCCATTTTTTTTTTTAATTTGGCTTCACATAGAAACCAGTCTCTGTAAAAATCGCCGATAATGTATTGTTCAGCTTGAAGTTGTTTGGTACATTGCGCCATTGGTGTAAATGCATCGACAAAGTATTCTATGAAGTTCCAATCAATTTCACAGTCACTAGAAAATCCCATATCGTTTCCATTAATATGCTGTTTAAAATTCAAAAGGGATTCTATCATTTCAAATATTGAGTTCCATCGACTTATTTTATTAACTAGCTATACCCTGCCACGCTTTGCTGTGGCATATTCCTGTTACATGGATGATAAATTATTAACGAAACAAAGCATACGTTTCATATGAGTTTGATTTTGTAATAAGTACTTGTGTGCACACAATATTCGTCGTGTTTCCATTCTCTGCATTGATATCAAGGATATCTGGTTTGCCGCACGGGAACACACAACATCTAAGAACCAATCCGCATCTCACTCCAAACCACACTTTTCCAAAGGATAACCTTGAGCAATAGTGATTGTGATTCCCAATGTCAATCGAATTCGGAACTGCAATCTTTAAAATTGAAATGGTGTATCG